TCCTTCCGCTCGATTAAATTAAGATCTATTAAGATCTATCGGATCTTGCAGCGATTGCCTCATCGGAATCATCTCCTGTGTCATTGGACGGTGTCCGGTCAAGCTCGTTGAACTCGCCGATCTGGACATCCGTCGAAATACCATCGAGTGAAATCGTCCGCGTGGGCTCTTCGGCGGTTAAACTCGTGGCAAATTCGATCAATCTGAACGGGGAAATTTCCCCCTCGAGAGAGGTAACAGTCGTACTTGGGATTCTCCTTCCGAGGAAGGGTAGATGCTAAACGAATGGCGGGAACAAACGAACGAATGAACGAACGTGGTGAGCGAGGACGGTGGAAAGGAATGGATAGAGGGACGGACAGACGGATGGCCGGGTAACCCAGATCGGGTCAGTCGAGCCGATCCTACGGAGACCGGCTGCCAGTACAGTATCGGACGTCGTGCACGATTCCGACGATTCCTTTCTGGCCGCATTCAGGCGCGCACCGGCCGTTTTTCAACAGTAAAAACTGCCATCCGGTTGTTGAAATTAACGCCAACCGCTTTTGGTCTAGATGTGAGCACAGTGTTGATGTCAGGGATATACCGTGAAAGTGAGTAGGATTATTTTGCGATGAGAAGCGACTAAACATTTTTTTGAATGAATTTTTTATCAGTGTGTATCCGATCGGTGAATGAAATTATCTGTGGGATCAAGCATCGTTAATGAGTAAATTATATTAAAATAGATTGATGAAAATCATACACTTTATATATCGTTTGTTAATTTTAATTATACACACGTGCACGTGATTGGATCTTACTAGCTTAAATTATGACTCGGATTAATATATTCACGTACATATATTTTTTGAGATTTCTTATTCTTACATTTTACTGTATTATGAGTACTGTATATTATATACAGATATACATTTATTTTGATAATGAAATTAAATGTTGTACATATATTTTTCATTGATTTTATACTTTCTTTATTGAATTTTATCAATAAACAATTTAATTTTATTAAAAAATATATGTTACAAAATAACCAGAATAATACAAAAGAATTATAATTAATATTAACATAACAATGTACAATATTTAAGATCGATAAGAAATAAATTTTTTCGAAAATTAATTAAAATTTTTTCATTGATTTATTATAAAAAGGAAATGTAAAAGTATTTTTAATAGGATCTTTGCGTTTAATTCGTCCACATGGTTGAAAGAATCAGCTGACTGCTTGGAAAAGGAAGGACATGCAAGACTGATCTAGCATAACCGAGCTTTACCACATGTATAGAATACTATGTTATTAGTATAAACTAGCTTACTCAATAATTTGAATAATAATATTTTTTATATAGTACTGTTATGTATCTTCCTTATTAATTGACAAACCGATAAAGATCAAAGGATGTAGCCTAAAGATACAAATTAATAAGAACCTGACAGTTCCTTTAAAATAATAAAGATAACATTTGATGATGTTTTTAAAAATACAAAATTATCTTATATATGTCTATGCAACTTGTTGCTCAAAATTTGATATCTGTATCTTTTTATTTTTTTTTATCGATTTCTTAATTTAATATTTTTGCATATGTACTGTAATAATTATTATTTTGATCTTAAAGGTCCTAAAAAGGTTCTTATTTTAATTCATTTGTTTATTTCAGAAAACGGAGTCGCAGGCCGAGATGCGGTTCTTCTTTCATAGTAATCACAGCTAGCCAATAGACAAGCACCTGGTACCTTTTTCATGAGTCGGACAATGGCAAGAGGGGGAGCAATCGCGATATTCTCGATTGTGCTCTTGGCTGTTACGTGCCTTCGCTCTGTCGTGGGGGTCAAGGTCCATACGGAGGCTGTGTCCTTGAACGAGACTAGGCGGCACGATGACGACATCGTCGAGAGGAACGAGGTACCACTTTCTCGGGAATCTGAAAACAGTACCGAGAACCACAGAATCCAGCACGATCATCCGCACAATATGCATGGAAAACCAACGAAATTTGATATCGAGCTTCATACGGACGATAAAGCGGATTACCAGATCGAACCCACGAGGATGGTCAATGTTACGGCTAATCCAATTGAAATGAATTCAACGACCAATCAATCTCTGTCAAATTCGACAGAATGCAGAGGGAAGCTTACCGTTTCCTGCATACGAAGAGATTTCTCGAATTTTTTAGATCAACTCTCGAGGGTTGACACGTACAACGTAACGGAATCCGTGCAGATAATAAGAACCCCTGAAGCAAACGTCGCGTGCAACGACGTAAAGAGCGACGGCGATACGGATTCGAATCTTCTGGACAAGGTCCATCGTTACGCCAGGACACACGTTATGAAGATACAACTGAACAAGGATCTGAGTCTTGCCAGCAAGGCCAGGACGTTCTTCGGTTGTGAGTTTCTAGACCGCTTGCTACAGATTTTTGTCGCGTGTGTACTAGTGCCGTTACTTTTGTCGACATGAAAGGTGGATTTTTCAAACTGCAATATGATATCATACCATTGTTAAACGATATAGCGTCGATCACTATCCGTATAATGTGATGCTCACGGTGAAGCCATTGCATAATCTTTAATTGGGGCGGAGTGAGAGTAATCGAGTAGTTCACGAGAAAGGAAAATATTTCCTATAAACGAAAATAATCATATTTTTTTGTATTTCCACCTTTCAACTCGATTTTAAATATAACTTTCACAATAATTTATTTAACATTTTTATAAAAATACAATTTTCAAGGTTTGCCGAAAATTTATGATTTTTTTCAAGAATAATCTATTTATTAATTTTTTTTTAATTATCTGACAAGCGACGAATCTAGTACGCTCGTAAACACTGGCATAAATAAAAGGTGTGAGAGAAAGCTTTAACTTTATGAATTGGCTTTTTGAGTTAAATCAAGTAACGAGGTTGGGTCAATGCTAATTGGCAAAAATGCAAACTAAACCAGCGATAAAACGGGTATGAGGTAAAATGAAGCGTGTAATATTGTGTGAGCAGTCAAATTAATTATAACTACGGTGGATATTTTTTATTCATTCGAATGGAGTGTTTCAGCGAAACGCGTGGCACGTGGAGATGGAGGAGATTGAATGATGATGAAAAAGATGCTGCTTGCAGCATGGCTTTCAGGGCTAACCGCAGGGCTTTAACAAGCTGGTACTTTTGCTTTCAGCCGTCTTTCAGGGAAAGAGTACCTTTTTAACAGGATTCGGGCTTGGTTTTCTAGCATTCGGTCTGAAGAAATTGCTGCTACCCTTGTTCTTCGGCGTACAAATAATTAAGAGCGTGTTACTCGCTCTCTTTCTACCAAGTATCATCGGCAGTATTGGTAATATCGTTGGAAAAGGTATGTGTTTTACGTTTAATAGATTATACGACAACAAATACATTGAAACAATTTGTGTAGTGATTTGAATTGATTGTCAAAATCATCGTGTATTTTATTTCTTCGTCAAGAATAGATTATACAAGTATTTGTAGTGAACAAGAAGTGAGTTTAAGTTAAATAATAATTTCAATGTTTACAACATTACTTAACATTAAACAAGTAATAAGTTTTAACAATACCAATATTTTCAGGAATATTATAGAAAGTTACGTTATAAGTTTTAACTTTTTTAATTGATTCTTGACCGATTTGACTTTAATGGAATTTTTTACAATTTTGAAAATTAAATTAATATTAGAAATCGAGGAATAGCGTAGAATGTAGAAATCAGATGTTTGTTGGAAAAAAAACATTCCGTTTCTTTTTGTAAAATTCACGTAGCAGCATTAATATTAATTAGATATTAATAAGAAAGCATCTTGAACTAAGTATGTGAATACACGTTACGCATAAATTACAGGTGTTTCCTCCTTTGCTCAAGCCTCGCATGCCGCGCCCGTGGCAGCAGCTGAGGAAAATTTCGAGTTCAAGGATAATTCTGATCTTTACAACAATGACTATTTGACACGGCAACCGGTAGGCACATTACCAGCATCCGCCATGTACGACGAGAGTATGATGCAAACACAAAAAACTCCGGATATGGCGTCCCGCTATGGATTTGTCGATTCAAGAATATCTCACGCGAATGCGCTCTCGGATCGTTATTATACGCGACACGTGGCTGCACACGGACTTTCTAAGAAACAGGATTTTAAGGTGGGCTTTTCGAATGAGTAATGTGCAATTACTTGCAGACCTCGTATATTTTCCCGTCGCAGAACGAACGCATGGCTTTTAAGTCGCCGCGCTATTTTTCCTTTTTCTCGAACTCGAATGTAACGCTAATGTAATCCACATTTACCAGCATTTAAGCGAGCAAGGTATTTAAACGAAGCTATAAATTGTCGGAATATTTTCATATTAATACTTAATGAAATCCTTTATTGTGTAATAGTAATAATTCTTATCGAATGGATTAGGCTAGCTTAGGAAATGCATATTGATTTGTACACTTGTTGCTGTCGCATTAATAATAGTCGCGCAAAGGTTCGAAAGAACTGTTTGCCCGATGTTTGTCCCGGTGTAATGAATTGGGTAAGTATGCCGTAGCAATATTTTCGTCTTTTTTTCCGGCATTTTTTTTTCGCAAACGGACAAACCTTCTCGACAAACGGGGATGACCGTGCTTTCCACTATTGATACTATTCGGCTATTGACATCGGTCACTAAAAGATTCACGCGACCCACTTCCTCCCCGTACGCTTCGTTTTAACTCGTTCGGCGCCTAGTCGCGCGCGTAACGGATACGGTGACCATTAAGTGTACGCAGCTGTAAACAGGCATATTGATTATTGCCGGCAGGTCTTCCACGAGATCCCGACGAGCTCTTTGCTCTTGACGAACTACGACCCGTTCTACTCGCCCCTGCTGTCACGTCTGGACGCCGTTTTCTCTCGTCTTGGTCACAACACGGAAGGCTGCAGGGAGTACGCGGTGTGCGCGATGTATCGGAGTCCGGCGCGTTACGCGCCGTACTCAAATCTGGTCTCCGCTCAATTGTCCAGAGAGCTGAACGAGCTGAGGAAACCTAGCAGCGACAATCCGGACGTTCTACGCTTCTTCAGATACATGAAGGCCGCCAAAGACGGCCAGGATGGCGTCAAGTGCGAAGAGACCTACGCGAATTGTGCGAACGCTCGTGAAGATCAGACTTTAAAGCAAAATCAGGCGATGCTCGCAACGTACCAAGATATCAACAAGCTCGTACAGGCCAGGAAGATCTGAGAAACGTCAAAGTCTTTCTTTCGTTTATTGCTGTTATTATCTTGTTATCGCAAAATGCAATAAGGAAGAAAGACGCGTCTCAAATCGCTTCGTCGAATGTGCGAGCTTTAGGAGCAATGGCTTATATAGTTTTTGATCGAATGCATTAGTGCGATCGTTAAAAATATTTAGCGTCTGCTCTAATGATTGCTCATTTGTTTAGAGATATTATGTGTACGTAAAGTTTGAAGGTGTTTCTAGTGAACGGATTACTATTACACGTCGCACGAAGCGTTCGCTCGGGGCTTCAAGATGCAAAATCTCGATTTTTCTTTTCCTGTTTTAAATTTTATTATTATCTTCAGGCATTAAAAACAATATTTCAAAAATATTTTAAAACTTTCTTGATTTTAAATTTTCGACACTTATCATTTTAGATAAGAGAATTCGAAATTAATTTGCGTTTGAAGCATTCGAGACAGTTTTAATCCATTCATTACTCAACCCTTTGACTTCTGTAACTAAACAGACTCTCGATGTACCATATACAGTTTCCTAAATTATCGTTTGCAAGTACTTGTTTGATTCCCAATGATGTCGATATACAGGCTGTAACGCGTGTAAGCCTGAATTCTCTCTCTCTGTCTCTCTCTCTCTCTCTCTCTGAACTTTTATCAAACATTTTTATAAAATATTAAAACTAAATTAAATTATAAATAATTAAGATACATTTTTTTAAAAATTATTAGAGTTGTTTAATATACATTTTTTAATTGTTTATTATTTTATCAGCATTTTTTTAAAAGTATGTATATAAATGTATTTTCTTGCATAATCAGCATTAATAATTTAGATAAAAGAGTAAACAGAGAGAATTTTAGATAGAATAGAGCAATATTCGTTCCTGCAATTATTGGCAAATTAATATTAATATCATTTTTTAAATATTTTGGAAACTGCGTTAATACAATCAAGAGTATTATAATTTATACAATATTTTGTTTCAGATTACGAGATAGATATATGTGATTCAATTTACTTCTCACGTAATAAAGCGATTTGAAACAGAAAACAGAAAAGAGAAAGAAAAGATCTGTTTAATATAAAAATATTTTTAAAAAATTTATTTTTTCATATGAATTTCTTAAGGAACTTATTATTATTAATTATGCTAAAGAATTTTCAACAAATGTAATTTGCACAAAATTCTCATAAATCTCAAAGAAAAATGTCAATGTAACAGCTTCCTTGAATGAAGTTTGCATAGACGAATCGATAAATAATTTAACGATATAGACGAATTATTTAATCAATATAAATAAAATATCACATTGAAATTATTATATATTTAACTTATTTATTGAGTATTATCATATACAAGATTTAATCTTGCGATGATAGTAACTCTGAATATTTATTTGTGTGACGTGAGAATGAAAATGCTAATTTATACAATTCAAGCGAGAAATGTATCGCGCAGAGTGCGCGTGATGTGTATTTAGATTAAATTTAACTGTATTAAAAAATTGCGATTATATCATTAATTGGATGATATATTTATAAATTAATGTACAGAGTAATAAAAGATTTATAACGTCACTTAGGCGAGTCTCTCCGAAATAAAGCAGCGCAATGCGTCAGTACACGATATAATCATATTTATGTAATCAAAATCCTGTTTAAGACATAAAGCGGTAAGAACATAGAAAACAAGAGTTATTTTTATCATTTTTATTTTTTAAAAACAAAAATTATAATTGCGCAAATTAATATGACAAATGTAATAGATAAAATTACATACCAAAGACTGCGTGTTACAAAAGAAAAAAGAAAAAAAAGTAAATAGTTATATAAGAAAGTGACTCATGGTTCAAGAACCATATTACAGCGAGAGAAAAAAAAGCGTCGGTTAAAGGATAAGGAAGAATGAAATCCTTAATACGATGACGCACGTTGGGTTATAAACTGGAAATGAAAGTGCAATGACTTCCTCTCTCCTACAGCGATGTACCTTCCGTCTCCGTTTCTTAAACCTATCCAGTTCCGGTTCGTGTTCCGAATATCACTTTCACTTTCAATTTTTCAAAATCCTCCTGTTTGCCATTCTGAGAACAACTTGCGGATCTTATTCCCTCTCTTGATTCTTTGGTACGTTCATATAAATACAAAGATGGTGTGTGTACCAAAGCGTCACATAGCGGTCGGCTGAAACCGTATCCAGTACGTATTAAAATATCCATAGTTTATCAGCCTCGATTTATTTTGGAACGTCCGGTATTTCAATTTATAAAAAGTAGCTCTCTCTACGCTCTAGTTTCTAATTAGAATGTTAAGTTAGTCTAATTTAATATATTTCCACTTTTTAAAATTTTTCCCACCGTTTTTCTTCCGTTCTTTCTTCTGTGCAGCTACATCAAAACTTATGTATATAATTCGCATTTTTTAAAAATTCATCTTACCAACTTTTAATTTGTTTATTGATTATTCGTAAGATCTTCATCTTACGCTTATTGTTTTATTTAAAAAAAAAGTTGCCGATATTATTGCAATTTCCAGTTATGTTATGGGGCATCTTGTTTTAAAATTTTACAATTTGACTAGAGAATTCGTGGTTTGAAAGATGAGATTGTACATTACTATTATTAGTCAAGTGGAATGCGCGCGTGATCAGAAATTGGAATCAGGAATCACCCGCTTCCTTTCATCCTTTCTGATTGGTGCGCTCATCTAACGGCACTTGGTGAACCGGCGCGTCGACTGCCAACAGTCGATCTTGCGGGCTTACAAGTGCTGTTTGAGGATCACCACGCGCAATACGTTTTTTGACAAGGATGTCGCAAAAAGAATATCGACTTACTAAAACTTGACAGTTCGGTGAGAAATTTGAGCATATCACAATTTTTATATTTTTTGAAAAACTAGAAACATATAAACCGTACAGTAATCGGTACATTTCGTATTCATTAGTAAATATAACTGTTTCATATGCATTTCAATTATTTTTATGTTATATTAAAAACAGTTATTAGAAAAATAATAAGAATATTTTGTGATGATAAAGTTAATAGTTAAATTAATCTATATATATATATATATATATATATATATATATATATATATATATATATATATATATATATATATATATATATATATATATATATATATATATATATATATATATATATATATATATATCGCTTTAAAACGAGGTAATCAGTTATATCGGTACGATGATCGGTAGTGATTTGTGTGATTTTCTAGGATATATTTCGTCATAATTAATAAAATAATCTATAATTGCAGGTGGTGTGAAAACAGGAAAGCAGAATGCAACTGCAGCGGTTGTTGGTAATTTTAGGAGCCCTTTTATTACTATCCTCGCTGGCATGTTGTCAGTCTACTGGCAAAATTACATTTCAGGATGGCGATTCCGAACATCAAACAAAGAAACAAGGTAAGATATATTATTTGTTGCATAACATAATATTTATAACATTCATATATTTTACGTTACCTGATTTAAGTAAAGAAAATGCTATATACTTTTTCGATATTAATTTATAAACATTTAAATAAAATTTATTTTACTTATTTTTTCGTTTTTAAGTTGTTTGAAATAATAATTTAATTACGCTTTTAAAATAATAATTATTATAAATTAAAATTATATATGGCTTTATAATTTTAGAAAATCTCGAAGAAATTTCATCGCAACAGAGAGGATTTAATCCTGTTCAACATGTAGAAAATCTATTCAATTATATTGGTCTTGGAACTGGACAAAGTGTTGATCCCTATTTGGCAAAAGTTAATGAACGTTGTTTAACTGGTGATTTAGCTGAATGTTTCAAATCGCGAGCATTAAATTATTTCTCGGACTTCTTTGATCATCCCGAATATTCTTTGAATGATAATGTTTGCGTTAAACGAATGTCTGATAAAATAATAACAGAAATACAGCATCAGCCCTACGAATACTCTAATGAACCTAGGTATGTCATTTTATCTTACAAAAATATATGTATTTTTCTATATATATATATATCATTATTTATGCAATTAAGAAATATGTAAATAATTTTCTTGATATTTTAATGTTATTGGAAAATATATTTGACTTAACAACAAAGTATAAAGTATTGCAAAGTAAAATATGTTGAACAGATCTGGTGAAACAGAATGGGAGCAAATGGTCAATTTTATGAAGAGAAAGATAGAAAGATTTGTTAAAACAATGTCCTTTGAATTGATCATTCCTGATACGGAAACTGGCCTCAATGATGAATATAAACCAAGATTCTTAGATGAGATCGCTGATGAGTTTGATACACTTGAAAACAAGAAGGATACATTATTTTGTAAGTAGTTATTTAAAATTATATAAAAACAAATTTTTCTTAAATGTTTTTTACAAAAAAAAAATTAAGAAAATATTAATGAATTCAAGAGCGTAATATATTTTAATGCAGAGTACGCTCGCGAATTTGTTCTTTACATTTGAACAATTTAAATAATACATTATTTTAAAAGAAAATTATTATTTTTAAATTTTATTGTAAAAGATTCTTCATTTATAATATGCAATAATAGAATGGCATTCTAAACATCAATTATTAAGGATAGAACTATAACTTGTTTGCAAGCTACTTACTTAAGCTTATTAAATATTTTTAACACACATTTTTTGTTTATTAAGACATTATTTGTTTTAATGTTTTAGCTCGTCATCGACTTAGGAAATTTTTTCTACCATTATTGCTCGTTTTGAAACTTTTTAAACTGAAGTTATTACTATTACTGCCTCTAATTTTGGGATTAGCTTCATTCAAAAAAGTCCTTGGATTTTTAGCAATCGTTATACCTGGTATAATAGGTTTTCTTAAACTATACAAACCGTACCCAAATTATTATCCTCCAGTATACACCAAAAATGGTATTGCTCAACCTCATTATGAATCACATTCAAATATTGATTTTTATGAAGATCATTATGGAAATATAAATTCCTATGGTCAAGATTTGGCATATCAAGGATATCGGCATTATAAACCGCAATTTAATTGATTTATTGATTGATTTTTATGATTTATTTATTATATTATTTATAAGAGAAACAAATTCTCATCAAATAAGTAAATTATCAATTATTTGTACATACAAATGTTTATTCCATTATTTTTTAAAATTATGATGCTTAAATTATATTTTACCAACATATTTTTTATTCATTAAGATGTGTATGTACTTGAATGACTCCAATATGTTGTATATATAATTAAAGCGTGAATGTGTAAGTTTTTATGTAATTTATATTTATAATTTGTATTACCTTTTTCAATAAAAATAATAAAATATACGTTCAATGTTTTAATTAGGTTATATCGAATGTTGCATTTATTATAATGTATGGTAATCTGTTTTTCATTAATTTGTTAATTGCATACTTAATAAGTTTAGTTTGATTTTGTATGAATACTTAAAATATATTTAAGATCCCATCCTATCCATCCTGTGTGTTATAAAATAATTTATCCATGTGTATTATAAAAATGCTCAAATCTTTCTGTACACATTCATGCATAACATATGATTGGCTTTCTTATTATTTTAGTTTCTATCTATTAGATATTCCTGCGCTACTTTTACGATACACGTAATTTCAAGAATCGATGTCTAATGTATTTGAATAATGTGATTAATTTGTTTGCAAAGATTATAAAAATTATCTAAACTAGGTTAATAATTACGATATAAACTTAAGTAAAAGAAAACACACATAATTGTTTTCCATTTTGCTATTAAATGAACATGATATGCTTTTGTTATAAACTTTCTATGAAGTTTTCTTTAGATAAAAAACTAATTCAAAAAATCTATTTTAAACTAACTCAAAAAATCTATTTAAAAAGAAAACACTTCAAGAGTTTGTTCATTATAATATATCAATTAATATATAATAATATATATCAATGTATAAATTTATAATTAATATTACGTAATTTTAAATATATTATTATTTAAAAAGTTTTATTACAAAAGAGTCAATTAAAGAATTTGTCAAAAATTGATTGTGTCGCTAATTTTTAATATCTAATCTTTTATCAACGAAAGGATGAACAGGTTTTGCCAAGAAGTCAATCTTCTGAAGAAAGATTTACTATAATCAACAGTGTTTATAACTCTTGCGTGAGTCGATTCCACATATCATCAATAGGCTGATCACTTAAGCTTTCATTACTCGTACTTGTTTTCATTATGTGATGACTGTTTAAATTAGACTATGCAAACGAATTATATGTTTAAGCTACTCGTAAATTTTTCATATATTTGAAAAAATTTATAATTAAATTAATTGATTAAAATTGATTATAATTAAAATAATATAGATTTTATTTAATGTTATAAATGTATAAATAAGAGAAATAAAAATATTACAAAAATGTCTTATAAACATCAAATATTTCATATAAAAATATAAGTTTCCTTTACAATTGAATAAATCTACAAGTTGTAAATTTTGTCACAATTAAATCATTATTTTATACGAATAAAGAAAAAGATTTTCATTGTTTGCCATTTGATTATTGTAATAATGGTAACGTAAATTAATAATCTTTTTTTTTGTCTAATTAAAAGATGTCGTTACCTAAAGATACTGGCCGCGGCTATTGTCGAAATGTCTCTTTAAGCGTGAAAATCCTATGTGATATTACACCGGTTCTCTCTCAGGTGCACAACGGGGAACTATCTTGTACGGAAACCGGTCCGATACGATTCTCACTCATGATCTAAAGAATCGGATGGAACGGACCCGCTGACCAAGTGGCCCCGTTTGTCGAGAAGACCGGAAGCGACCGATCATCCTACGACGATATACGGAAAGCAATTTGATGGAAATGCACGTCAGTCTTAACTCTCTTCAAAGCTGCGGTATGTTGAATTGTCCGTTTTGTAATTACAAATGGAAAAATAAATAAAAAATATATATCGCGATCACAACAGTTTATTATTTAATTCATTATTTGTATCTGAAAAAAAAAATGACACACGACGCAATCGTAAGAACGAAAAAGATTAGTGAAAATATCGCGCTGCACTAAACATTCTTTTTTTAGATATAATAAAATATTTCTATATTTATGCCGTATACAATGCCATAATTAAATTTTTTTAAAATAATCTTTTATTTGCAGAATTTTTATATTAAATGTTCTGTCACTAAATAATTGACAGAACATAAAGAACATAAAGAAAATAATTATTGAAAGATTGTGCCAGGAATTTCCGAGCGTGACACAAAGTGCACGGTATCTCAAGCCGATAATTTGTATCTGACAGGAAAGATAATTAATCTTTCTACGTTCACAGGAATAAAAGATGATTACAAGTAAAGTACAAGTTACGACGTCATCACAATGCAATTGTTCGACCATTTTACCATAAAGAGAATGTAATACGTGTGTACGTGCGAACTAGTGCATTTATAATTACATAAATTTTTCGTAGAAACGCAAGTATAAACCACGTGAAATTACGGAAGGACACCGATATGAAGGACTCACGCGTAGTATTATAAGCGCAGTACGGCGAAAGCGATGCTCGTATAAAAAAGAAATGCCTGACTTTTCGGCTTTCCGATATTTTCTATTAAATTGCCGGAAGTCCTCGCGAGGAACGAGCTTGAAAACTTTCCTTCGTATATACTTTCTGCCAATTTCCATTGGCGTTTTTCAGTTCTTACAAAAGTACACACAACTTTCTTCGACTGTAAGCAACAATGTACGACCTGTACGGTTATACGTGCTAAATAATGATTGACAATGTATCGTAGAGTTGATCTTAACGCCGTGCTTCTTCAGTTAGAATAGTAGAATCTGTCTTCATCATCGGTCAACGGTTCTAAGTTAATGTCGTCATATTATGAGTGTGGGATCTAGGCAGTTGACGTGCTTATAAGAGCCTGTCTATTGTGCGTAAGCACAAATTAAAACGGATAGCCTTAAGGAATTTGCGCGCTCTATACCTTATCGGATCGCCTATTTTTCCGTGGCACGATATTAACATTTACTTTATAAATTTCTTTACATAGCAGATATAATGAATTTAATGAAAATAAATGGTAAAATATAGCAATACTTTCAGTGTAGTATGAAACATGATGGAATAATGTTGCGTGACACGAAACGTTAGTTATATTCGCGTGTGTTATTTCACGCAACTTTGTTTCGAACGACGTTACGTACGTTCAGGGTCCTGACAAAATGCTCGTCCGGAATTCGACGTAACGGTGCACGGAGCACCAAAACACTCGTTCTCTCTGCGAGCGGCTTGGCTCTCACGTTGCAGTCCACGTGGGGAAAGACGTCGGCCAACGTGTATATGGACGAGCTTTCGCGGCGTTAGGTCGCGACGTTAACCTCTGTACCACTGCGAAAGTCGCTTTTACGAGAAAACGGGCTGAATTCGAGAAACGAGAGAAGCGGATATGGTCGTTTTCCTCGATCTCCCTCACGCCTCATTATCCATCCAGTTAACAGTATTCGATTTATTTAAGAGATTTATTTGAGAGCATGGTCGTAAATACCATTTCGCACAAACGCGGTGATCTGATCGAAAGGATCTATATATTGCATTTTGCTTTTGTACTTCGCGTAAGTAAACGTAATGTTGAAATGTGAATGTAAACTTAAGCAGTTTTTATCATCTATGGTAACGTTTGATAAGATTATTTGAAAAAAATATTAGCATAAATCTGATAATAAAATATATGCATATGTATCGCTTATTTTATTCATCGTATTTGTCATCGTTGATTACAACCAAATTTTAGAAGGATTTATGGATTTATAATTAATTTGATGGAGTTATGTAAACTCTTCATTATAGTAGACATAAATTGATGTTAACGTCTTCATGGATCATATATCTTCATACCTGTATCTCGTACATAAAGATGCATTTTGCTAGACAAGTTTAGTAAGAAATCGTTTTCTATTCAACAGTTCGTTCTTTTTAGAAAAAAAAGATGGAGAAAAGTTGACGTTTAATTAAATCTTATCAGGTACATAACTTAATTAATCATCAAGATAACAGAATTATTTTAAAAACTTCCGTAGCTTTCGCCATTTATGTGAAATACACATCACAATTCTGAGTTTAGCTTATAAATTATATACTTATTTTTTTAGAATAATTTGTTAATTCTATTGTTTATCAATTGTGTTATGGGCATTACAAGTCCAATAAAATTATTGTTGACGACTTTATTTGATAGATATTATCGAATGATGCCTAAATGACACTCAACTCATTCGTCGCAGACACATATGACGTGCAATGCGATAAATGACATTTGACGATACCTTCACTCGTTCATTTCTTTGCCTCCCTTTACTTTCCTCGGAATTGTTGTAACGCATCAATGCCTTCTACGCGTTTGCACTTTGATTTCATTTTGCAATCGAAATGACGTAGGCAGATTTACGAGCGAGTTAATGAATGGCGAGTGAAGACGTCGACGATAGTAGTTACTCCTCAGTAAGAATCTACAACATCGGGAAAACAACGGAAGCAATAAAATTAATCCCGAGAGTCGCCCGATTGTTCGTCAGACCATGTATGCGCATGTGTGTAACGTACGTGTGATTAGATACGTAATAACTTCGTATAGCATACATAGGCATGTACTGCTATGAGTCTGATTGCGAGTCTACCGATATATACGTGTTGGAGTTTCTCCTCAATATCCTGAATCTCTGTCATTCTGGAACAAACGTATATCCGGTGCATCTGCATACCTACGTCGCCGAAGTGTGTTAATCTGACTCGTGCGACCGTCATCGTGCTCGTTCGCGTATCGCCCGTTCGCGGCGGCAACAGTTTTCGAAAAATTAGTCAAATTAAATGAGGTGATTTAAGCCGCGCGAATGCTTCCCTTGGACGACTCCTCTGCTCCAGTAACTTCCTCGAACTATGCTCGTTTGTCCCAGCTTTCCCAGCATCTCGGCTTTCCTTTCTGCGCGTCGCTTATGGTCGAGTCTCATCTCTCTCTCTCTC